CATTGAAATATCAATTTTTTTTCGCATTTAGCACAAAATTTAGCTCACGAAATTCCAACAGAATCTGTAATTTTTTTCGGTGATTTATGACCATTTGGCCACCTAGTCCCGCGTTATTTCAGCGATTGTCTATCGTTCTTTTACAGAGTGGGTGGAGTAAAATCCTTCCGAGTTCAAAACCTGCACACAAAAGACAGAGTGTTGCATTAAAAAAATCATCAGAAATAATCTCCCAATTTCATAGAAAATGCTGAAACAGTTGTTGGAGTAAAATCCTTCAAATCCTATTACTTTTCAAAAATTACCTGTTCACGGGAAACTGTTTCTTGCAAATTCCGAAACATAAGAATATATATCCGGATTTCACAGTAGAAAACTTGAACTGAGGAGGCATCTTGGTGTAATCGACAAATGGCATCGTCAAAACACCAGATTTTGAAGGTCTTTTTTTTAAAATTAAAATTTACGTCGTCATCCGTGGTCGTCGCGTTGTAAAATGAATAAATTGTAAAGCATTTAGTAGAACTGACTTTTACGCATGCGTAGTATGTATGAAAAATGGCGCAATGCAGATAAATAAGACTAAACAAAGTTAATGTTTATATTTATTGTTATAAAACACCTTTCGATGATTCCTACTACATGTATAAATAAAGACAGAAGAAAAATCAAAACTGGTTTTCTTTGGCCTAACTTGATGTACAGTGCCAGGTAGTCATCCAAGCAGAACGAGACCTTACCTGTGGCTGTCCAATAAGTTAACAATGGAAGTGTTCGATAGTGGTGAAATGTTTTAAGTAAGTTATAAGCCGAAAACTGACCATTATGTCAGATATTAGACTGTCCTCGGCGCTAACGCGCCTCGGGTCGTCTAATATCTGACATAATAGACAGTTTTCGGCTTATAACCATTACTTACATAAACTGATGAAAGCTTAAGTTCGGTTATAAAAATTGTATATTTAAGTGTTTGTTGGTGGTTTTTGAATAGAATTTCTTTCTTGAAAAGGTGAGTTTCCTTTTTATTTAAAATCTGGCGAATGTCAGCGGGAAAAAGGCATGTTTCTAAATTTCTTCCGATTCTGTTTTATTAAAAACTATCACCACTGTTCAAATTTCAAACACGCTCTTGTTCATATACTTTTTAAAATACTTTATTCTGAAAAAAAAATACTTAATTATAAATTAAGAAATACATGCTGCGAAAAGAATAATTTAAAGTCAAAGGTTTGTTTGTTAATTGTAAAATGCCCCTTTTGAAAATATTTTAATTTGCAAATAGAAACGCCATCACCTGCTGATGGAAGACTGCATCACTGAGGGCTATTTACTAGTGATGTTTTTGTAGTGCTAAAATCTACTTAGACCAGACACTTTGCAACATCCGAAAGATCACTCTCTATGCACTATAGTGTACTCAAACCAACGGCTCAACAAAACGAGAAAACAAAAACAACAACAGGAAGATTTAAGATTTTTACTATTTGACTGACCTTGATTTGAAGACTTGGGAATTTTGATCTTTTTTTTCAGATAATATGTTTATTGTAAATACAGACTTTTGAAGGCTACTACACTTACTGAACTTTTCATCGACTGTAAACATTGTCATATGTCAATTTTTAATCGAATTCCTTTCCTAGAGTTTTGTTATTTCAGATATATAGGATCGTAAGAATACACACTTTTCAAGGACAATAAGTTTACTCATTTGTTAGTCATTTTTATTGATTTTTATTTATCTCCTAATGTTTCTAATTAAAAAGATTCCGTGACGGACAAAGGTGATCATTGACAAAAGTGTACACATAAAAGCTGGATATTTATTCTTTACGTAACTTTGAACTTTCAAAGAATTTACAACAATCTTTTGTTAATTGTATGTTAACTTTATTAATGGCAATTACAAGCAATCGCAAAAGTTTTTGCTTCTTTTATTTCAATACGGACTGTCTTTTTTCCGAGTATTTTAGGCTTAGAATTGTCACACCACTGTCTACTGCACGGCGAACATTAAACTGCTTAAAGCAATATGAGCTGTATGTTTGACAGGGGGAAAAATTGCAAATTTGAATTAACTATTTCAATGACAAAAATTGGAACATTTATAAACTTCTGTTATCAATATTTGCCATGGAAGAACTTTTTATAAGCTTTGATTAGAGCAAAATTGAATTATTATCGTCCTGTACCGTAATAATTTCTTATCTAGTACATGTATTTTCGGTTGAACAGAAATATTTTTTCTGAAACATTTTTAAACTTTATTTTGTTTTTATTGATCATAAGGATTTACATTACATACAGACTAATCATAATAAGACATTTTACCAGCAAAATAAAATTCTCAAAAATGCAGCTCATATTGCTTTAAACATAGATCAGATAATCTATATAAAGAAGTATTTAATTTCTTCGAGTTACCTGAACAAATCGAAATAAAATCCATTGTTGCATCGAGATCGAAGCTTCTTCCGATGTTTAATGCTCGATTTGTGCCAAACAAATATTGAAGCTGAAAACTACTCGTAAATAGGCACAGTCCGCCATATCTCCCGTTCTTCGACGCTCTCCCTACAACCCGTATATAAGGAGCAGATCGCTAGTCAGCTCAATGTATTTCACTGTAGAGATCCGACGAGTGTAGACGTACTGTGTACATCTTACAAAGCGAGCTACTCCCCCTGCGAGGTGAAAATCATGATTTGAAGAACTTTTATGAAGCGTTCATGAAACTTCATGAAATATTCATGACTGGTTCATGACTGATTCATAGGGACAGTTCATGAATTTTATTCATGAATATATTCATAAAATGAAGTTCATGAACAAATGATGAATTTATATGAATATTGGTAAATCGGAGTCGTCATACGAGTAAAACTCACCAGAAGTTCATGGGAATGAACATTCATGAATTTTCATGAAGATTTGATTGACCTGCAATTCAAATTAAAAATTAATAGTCTTCATGAATATTCATACATATATTTTACAACTCGCTTTAAAAAAAACAGTACATTATTTATTATAAAACATTTAATAGACATGTATGTATTCATATAAAGAAAAAAAACTTTACATTTAATTGTAATATGAGACTTTTGTCATGCTGATTCCATGTTAATTGTCCATGACAAAAACATATGAAAAATGATACAGATCTATGCACTTTCTTACACTCCTTTTAACACAATCTTTAGAATTTTAAGGCATATCTGTGATTGGGTGGTACATGTATTTAAATTCTTCAACAGCATTTAGTTATAAATTTTGAGGTTCTCCCATCCTTAGCCTACAAGTATTATCATCCTAAAGATGCAACTCTGTTATTCAAACATTATACATGAAGTGAAACAAAGAGAATTCATGCATGATATTCATGCATTTTACAAAGTAATGGCAAATTTGCCCAAGTTGGATAAACTGGAAAAAAGATATATATTAATATCTGTAAATGTTGCTTTACGCAAAATCACTGAACCACTATTCACTAAAAAAACTTTAACTTCAATATTAATCGAGATATACATTTGTACCAGGTAGTAATGTACATACCCCCCTTCTTATATAATCATTATTGTTTTTTTCCTTTGGAAAAGGGCATGACATTACATGCCAAACAAACCTTTAGAGAATGAGTAGGGTGAACTATTTCAATAGTGATCTGCTAACATGTTTGAAGTTTGGGGTAAATATTCAAGACTTCATACAAACAGAGATTAATTTAGCTGTTCTAAAAATGAAAATTACCTTCAAGAGTATAGTCATTCACAGTCAGCACACTTTCCACATCCTTATTACTGCCTTGGGCCTTTTCTTTTTCAATCTCATTGTTACGGACAAGACTTTTATCACACAGGTCATTTTTTTCCTTCTTGTAATGCAGAGTACTACGAGGTATTTCAATAAAAGGGTTTTCTATCTACTTTCTGCTTTACTTGCATTTTGTGGCCAAATGCAGAAACGGCGCAACATGATGAGCACAAAAAATTTTGAAACAGTCACGCTGATGATGGATATGACAAAAATTTGGCCAAAAAATGATTGACTTCATATATTATCAATTTTGCATAGAAACTAATGTTAAATTGTCGACTCAGGAAGTAATCATTTTTAGTCCAAAATTTCATCGTATTCATCATTAGTGTGACTGTATCAAAAGATATGGTATTTACCATCTTGCGCAGTTTGGTCTTGTGCCGCAAAATGCAGAAATTATAAAACGTAGGTAGAAATACATACTTTGAGTAACTTTAAATACCTAGGTAGCTATTAATAGCTACGTAGGTAGAAATAGTCTTTGGACTGGACCTGATAATAAATCTCTATTGAGATTCTGCTGGGCAAGATATTTGCACTGATATCTCATATTTCGAACAGATATTTCTGTAAATATTTTTATGTTGGGATTTACATGCGTAAAAGGTAAGCAAATCAATATCTAGCCCAACAAAATTTCAATAGAGGTACCCTATATCCCTACTGAACGCCATGTTAATTTTTTTTTTAGGTCGAACACTTAACAAAAATTTAAAAATTAATGCAGTTAAAAAAAACTTTGTTTTCCCATGCAAGGTATGTATGTGATATATTGTGGACCGTGTTGTTGTAAATATCTGCCACACAATGCACATTCATACTTTTTACGACCATTCTCCCAAACTTCTGCAGAGTCCGCTGTTTTGACCTCCGGGGCCATACTTGTTGTTGTGATATCCAAAACAAGGCTCTTCGCTTTTCAACACATTCGATGGTGGATGCGTATATTGGTGTAAACATTTCTTTGAAATCATTAGATGGTTAAAATTAAAGTTTTTTATTTTAACTTAATTAGTGAAAAAATATACTAAAATTTTATTCTTTCTTCTTTTTATTTCTCGAAAATTCGAAACTATTTGCTAACCCGACCTTACAAATCTTACAGAGCGGATTTTCTATTGGTCACGACGAAAAGGCGCAAACTTGAATCGCGCCGCAAACTTAAAAAGGCATTGAAAATGGCAGACCCTAAAGTTTTTGCATTGATAGAATGGGAGGATAACTATGTTAGCATAATAAACATAGACGCAATCTGTCAGCCCCGTAAAGAAATAGAGAAGTACGAAGAGGGAGAGTATATAAGGGCCAAATTCAAGGGAACAATGTATTCTGCAGTCATAGCTGAGATCAGTGGTAAGTTACAAAATATATCTATGGTAGCTCTTTTTATCTGTTTCAGTTTTTTTTTAATTAATTTGCATTCTAAATTAAAACCTTGCCAATCACAAACTTAAGGATGGATCAATCCAACCAGGGCAACTTTTTCATTTCAATTATAATTTTCTAAATAAGTTACCATTGGCCACCATTTTGTAGGTCTAGCAAATACAGTTTTTCATGTGGGTTTGGAACTAGCTGCAGAACTGTATCTCTCTGCTTGAGAAATTCGGACAGATAAAGCAGAGAGCTACAGATCCAAGCGTAAGTAAAAAGGTTAGCTTTTTAACAGGTTTCATTTCCAAGTAACTTTGAGCTCTATGTTGAGCAAACTTGCATGGATGATACATCTTTGAATGCACACTAATGGACTTGCTTCAGATGCTGAATTGGACATACATTTTCTAGATAATGAACAGGTCTCGTAAAAGTTGTGGGTGCAGGTTTATTACCATGATTACCAAGAAACTAAAAGGCTTATATAAACCAATCTTGCATACATGATGCATCAAGGGTTGAAATCTCTCAAACTTTTTTCAGATGCTGGATTTTAACTTCATGATGAAGAACTAGTTTGAAGTTTTTGTATAAGTCTGTTCCAAAGTATCAAATCAAAATTGAATAAATTTTGCATTTTTGGATGTACACTTTTTATTGATTAATTGTGTGCATGACTTAGCCTTAATACTTAAAGACAACATTCGTTGAGGTGAGCTCTGTAATCTCTGATTACCTATGTTTTATTTAGTTCGGGCTGTGACATTGGGTGCAGCTCAGACTCTCGCCTCACATTTAATATACATCATTTACCTACGTATCCACAAAAATTAAAATTTACCAAACGCTATTAATTTGTCCTGGAGATGGGATTGGTCCTGACTCTTCTGCATATGGAATTGTGTTTAAATTAGATATACTCAAGTGGTTCAGTCTCAGTGGGGATAATAAGTTACTTGTTTTTAAAAAGGAATGAGATATATTCATAGTTGTACTATTTCATGTAAATTTTTAGATGACAAAAAATACCTTGAAGAAAAGAAAAAAACAAGGCAACTAAAGCATGAATTTTAAGATGGGTCAGTAGGTAAAAACAATTTAATTCTTTGAAAATTCAGCTATAAACGTTTCCTTCAGGTAATCTACCAAATAAATACAATGATTACACAAGAACAGATAATAAAACAATTTCATTTTCTTGTTTCTAAATAGCATCCTGTTCCAGCATATCAGTTCCTTCTATTAACCTTTGAAATGTTTGCATCCTCCCTCTGCATTGACTTCTTTAATTAATACAAGATCTAAACAAGTTCACAGGTGCTCACCCTGATATCAATAATTTAAAAATGTTATAAAACCTTATTGATAACAATGAGAGGTGGAAAATAGATGAATATTAACACTTGATTTTATTATAGCATTCTCTTCAAGGAAACGACTCGGACAGTCTAATATTAGATTAATCCCTGAAAAGACAGCACCAGCTCCGGACTCTGATGAAACTGATTCACCACCCGCTACACCACTTAATACAGGTAAATCAGGTGAGTTAATGTATGTATTAATCTTTGAAATGTTTGCATCTTGTCTCTGCACTGACTTCTTTAATTAATACAAGATCTAAACAAGTTAACAGGTGCTCACTCTGAAATCAATTATTTAAAATTGTAATATAATTGCAATAAAACCTTATTCATAACATGACTTGTGGAAAATAGATATAGCATTATATATAATGATATAAGTTTATCATTATACTTAATGATAAGTATCCACAGCTTTTAAATAGAAAATAAATTTGCTGGACATCCAGATCGTTAATTCATTGTAAATGGCACATTCTAACACAATCTTTCCATCCTCTTGGCCATCCTTTCCTCCTCTATATCTATTCTACGTATTTTTTTTCTTTTCCATAGTACTATTTTTAAAAAAAAAACATATGCCCATAAACACGTGTTAATGAGCATTCCAAATTTTGAGAAGTTTAATGTCCATATACTTTTAAAGAACAATTCATCTATTCACCACACTCACACACGCTAACGCACTTTAAACCAGTAGTCATAAAAATTATTCCATTCCATATTCTTTTCTACATTTACAAAGTCAATGTTAAACGTTAAATGTATCGTCTTTCGTCAATACATTGTATATATACCTTTCTCATTACCATGAGTGCCGAGTAAGAAGCAATTTGAAGCCCTTCGCTGGTATGTGTTGACGTCTCTACATGAATGATAAATTCTCGAAGAGGACGTGCAACAACATACAATCAATTTCTTTAAGATTAATATGACAAGGGCGGAAAGTTCTCAAATAAAACGTTATCTCCGGGGTCAGGCTCAGACATCAGATATTTTGTATCCAAAGGAAGGTCTAGTCAAAGAGAATAAACTTTTGAAGTATAAAAGTCGTGCTACTTAAAGTTCAAAAGTTATGGCCGAGGTAAAAAAAAATAGGTGGGCAAAACTTTAAACTCAAAGGTCAAGAGATCTTTGCTGGTACCCAAAGAAAGTTCTTGTCACAAGGACTGCATTTTTGAAATATTAAAGTAATAGCCCAAATCACACAAAAGTTATAGGAAAGTTTAAAGTTTTTGCTGACAGACAACAAGAAAGACAGACTGTCGGACATAAAATTTTATACCTCTGAATCTTACTAGGGTATAAAAAGACACTCGAACTGCATTTTTTGAAAGAGGAGAAAGAACAAATTAAGTTAAAAAACCCCAAAATATTAATTACATGTTGAAAACATATATATTAATCACTTCATCCTTTAGTCTATATAATTGTTATGTTATGTAAGGTTGCAACATTCCATTCATATTCTCAAAAATAATCAAAATGTATCATTTCTGTTCTTTGATTTATTTAAGAAATAAATAACAAGTTTATAAACTTCAATGGGAATTGAAGTGGGTCGGTCACGTGGTCAAATCCTGTGAAGGCCGAAGGCCTTCTCAGAAGATTTTATCACGTACCGAACCACTTCAATTCCCATTGAAGTTTATAAACTTGTTATTTATTACTTATATATATATTTGAGACAGACAATTGAATATTTTCGAATTTAAATTATTGCACTAACCGTCCGTCGTAGATTTTGAAAAATGACGAAAGGTGTAAATCGGCTTGCATGGCGGTTACGCTTCGAATTCATTAGGCTAAGGAATCTATTTCGAAGGGAATATTTTGTGAAAGACTACTTGTGATCAGTAACTGTATATAATAGTGAACAGATTGTTGTCTGGGAATATTTTATTCGTGAAAAATGATAATCGATGCTGAAAAGACAAAAGAAACACGTCCGAAGATTGATCATAAAAAGTTGGCTGGAAAGGGATGGATGGATCCGATGTATTGAGACACTTGTCCGAGCCAGTTAATTTGCATTTGATCAGAAACATTCCACGGTTTCAGTAACTAAAGGCATACTTATCGTAAAACACTGATAAACACGGAGACACTGGCGACAGCTTTACATAGAACTACGAAAACGCCGAGGTGTTTGGCAGCTGTTCAGGGCATGATTGCAAAGATATTTTCCAACAAATTTACACATTTATCGTGAGTAAAATTTAAAGATAAAATAAAAGTTTATCATGAAAATTTAACCAAAGGTCTATTCAAAAAATAAGGATGAACGTTATCTGGAGACTCTGCAGCTGACAAAAGTGAAGAAAAATGTAAACAAACGCTAGGCCTAGGCTCCTTAGTTTTCTCTGTGTACACAGGTTGAATCGATAGCCCAAAACTGTATGAAATACATGTACTTGTTTACATTTAAAATAAAATAATTATCATTTTACTTGCTTATTTTATTCATTTTTTGACATGAAAAGCAAGTAGAGCAGGTCATTTGATAATTTATGTACCGGTAGATATTATTGCGCCGTGTGATTAGGTCACGTATTGACCTCTGACCTCTGACAAACTTCATACAGAATTGAAGATATTTTCTCTCTGTATGTTTATATAATGGAGAGATACCACAAATGTATATATATATTATTATATCATTATTGATTTTCTATATTATCTCTCATAGGCGTGCAAGAACATTTACACAACGGGCTGTTCAAAATATAGATTTAAATCCTTATTTGCATTTCTTGTTATAATTTTATGAATAAATGTTTTACCGGAATCAATGATGTACCCTTCAACAGAAGAAAATATACCAAATTAAAAACTTTTTATCTAAGGTAAACCTACTGTAGAGCTAATCTCCTTGTTAATTAAACTAAAGGATGTAAATCGTCTAACATCATCGGTCCGCTTAAATATTAGTAATTAATATTATGAGACGTAAATTACGCATTTATTTTATAGACATTCCCTCGTTGTATTAGTTTTTAACTTGTGAATGACAATGTGATCCATAACCCCCCAAAACGTACGTAACCACTATGATATTCGGACAAAAGAATCGATAAAACAGCTTACAAAATGTATTGCACGATGCACACTGTCAAGGTGAATCTTTTTTTCAACCTAACTACAGAGCAATTTAAACTTTCAAGATATTGAAAAAAACATACAGTAGACTTGAGCAGTAAAATATCACGATCTATATTTACGCTGGATTTGAACATTTTTAAAATCATCTGAAGTAACTCACACCGAAGTTCAAGAAAATTAAGATCAGAAAGAATTTCATTGCAGGAGTTTAGGCCGTACATAATTTTTCGAGTGAAAGATAACATAGAGAAAAGGAAGTTATGTCGGCCATTTTGTCTCCTGTGTTTGTTAAGAACAAAAAAAGACATTGACGGACGGATTATTGCCTTTCCATAATGGCACTATCATTTTTTCCAAGAAGAATTTTGTTATTTGGATTCGTATCAGAGAAAAAATTGTTCATGTCAGTTCAGCGTTTAATTACTACCAGCTGCAGTATTCAATCATTTTAAGAATTATAACAATGACTTCGTCACAAATCACAAGACAGTTTCACCAGCGCAGATGACCTAAATTTTAGTATTGAACGTTACAAGTTTTGGATTTTAGTGCATGATCAATATGTGTCCAAGAACATATTTAACTCAACGACAGCTGGAATTAAGTGTCTGTCTGTTCATGTGCTTGATTTTAATTGTTGTGTCGTCACCTGACGTCAGCGTTTTAAATATAACCAGACACAGACAAATCAATAATCGACCAAAAAGGGTAAATATATACGCTTAGTTTAACAGTAATTGTTGTAGAACTTACACTCTACATATTAAGTTCAATGTATAAGAAATGAATCACTACTAGGCATTTAATATTGCTTACGTGTGTAGCAATTATTAAAAAAAAATCAAATTAATTCTTTACAATTCCTTAAAGAATTCAGGGATGTATTTGTATTTAAGGTAAAAAAAACATTAAGGCTCACATTAATGTTTAGTTGATGATGAATTATTTGCATTAAAACTGTCTTTCGGGGTTTTTGTTGTTGTTGATTTCGATGTCTTCACCTCATTTCTTTCCTATATGACCGCATTTTGAGAAACTAATTCTTATTTTAGCTCCTTGTCGTGACCAAGAAATATCGTTCATAGACTTTAAACTAGTGTGTTCATATTTTTTGTTTCATGAACTTTTTTTATCAATAACTCCCCTCGTTTAGAAACAGTTGGCATCTATAACATCCTTTTGCGTATCGAATTAACTGAGAATTAAAAACCCCACACTCAGGTAATAATGGTATACTACTTTATTCCTAAAGGAGGTAAATGATTCAACATTTTCTCTTATAGATTTACTTGCATCTGAGAAACGCCATCCCTCGCCATTATCTACCATACGGGGCAATAGAAGTTCAGTTTCTTTCCTCTCTTTGAAATAAAGTAAAATCATATATTTTTCATTTGCTATCTAGGTTTCAACACAGTAGCGATTCCCTGTCAATGAGGTGGACTCTTGTCCTACAACTAATGTCACGTGGTATGAAGCTGGTGCCAGATTAAACTGTTCTCATGACTTCTTCAACAGACTTCAGTACCTCTGTATTCCCAATCAGGAAAAGACAACTCTACTGGAATTTTGTTATGACAAGATTATGGGTCTTTACGAAAAAGGTACAGTTGCATTTCATTTAAATGATGTTTTCAAGGTATACCATTCATTTTAAATAACATTATTGAAATTTAAACTTAGGTCACATTAAAAAAAAGACATAAATTCCTTACCTGCTAAATCATCAATCAAGATGCCTGAACAAGATAAAATATTGGTGCAAAGCATCTAATCTGTATCAAATTTCTCAAGTAAAACACACCTGTGCCCTAAAGTTATGAATATTATGTAACGATGCCGATGACCTGCAGAAGCTAGGTTTAACTTAAAAATGATAAGTTAAAATTTATTTTTCTTTTTTGCAAAGGAAAAGCAACTTGTTTATGTTTCTCTTTTTAAAATCTAAAACATTGTACAGTTTCAGAGACACATATCAATTGATTTCTTTATACATCCTTTTAAATGGGGAAACTAAATAAAACTGAAAATAGAACAAAACTTTAATTTAATAAAAATAATAAGGCTACATAAAAAAGATACCGGTATACATGTACGTACGGTATAATGGTAGGGCAGATATGGGCGAGTATATAGACAAAGAGTTACACCGGATAAATTAATTCCTCACTGCCGCTTTGTTCTGCAGTCAATACAAAACAGTAAAGTGTTTCATTCATATAGCACATATCTATCTGATTACTTTACTTACTGATAAAGGTTATTGTAGTTTTGTATTGAAACGTGCTAAAGTAAATGTTTTTTTTACCCGAAAAACCTATGAGCCATACAAAGCAAAAGTTAAGGACAAAAAAATATTTCAGGACACTGCCTACATTTATCAACATCTGGGTTCGTGGACCAAGAGGATTGTGACTTTTTTATTGAGGGATGTCCAAAGACACCTTATTACAGCAGCACCATTTTTCAATGTAAGAATGAAAAACATAATTTTATACTATGTGATACTTAATTCATATTTAAATGCAAGAAATGTACATGATTAAACGTAAGATAATTACACGTATTATCATTTTTAGTTTTGAAATGCTTGGAAATAAACAGAGACCTGAGATGCTTTTCGGCTGATCTGGATTGCTATACAAGGTTTTTTTTTTTTTTATTTTAAAATGAGCAATGTTAAGTAGAGTACCCCTTTCGGTAGGAACCTCACCAGTAATATGAGAGATAATTTCTCCAGAGGGGCTTTAAAGATTGATTTTACAATGCATGTTATCATGATGTTAAAGTTAAATTGAAGCATCAAATTGGCATTAAATATGTATAATTTAAGTATTG